ATGCATGGTTACAGTATTTTATCATGTAATAATTTCATGAAAAAGTACTTATTATGCCTTGCTTTTCCCCATCATTGATATTAAAATTGCACTACAGATATTATAAGTGATATCTTTACTAAACTCTTTAGGCCTGGAATGATACTGGTAGGAACCTCCTGGTTACACCAGCCCACAGGGGATTATTGTGTCCGTCGTGCAGGGAGGGGCTGGGTGGGGAGGGGCTGGGTGGGGAGGGGAGGGTGGGGAGGGAGGGGAGAGAGGGGAGAGGCTGGGTGGGGAGGGGAGGGAGGGGAGGGAGGGGAGGGGCTGGGTGGGGAGGGTGGGGAGGGGCTGGGTGAGGAGGGGCTGGTCACCCCGTGGTGTCCTTATAAAACTCAACGTTTAACCTACTCACGCCGGCTTGTGCCCGCCCTCACAGTCGGGCATATTTGCGGAATACACCACGCCGCCGTTGACCCTGGCCATTGACCGAGCAACCCAACGTTCCTACCAGCTCCCTCCGCAGGAATGTGTTTTACTCCCCTCGCGATTTGATGAATTACCATTATTTGAGGAACTCTACGATTCGATGAAAGAATATGTTATTATTTATATTTTTTACATGTTGGCTTCACTATAGCACTTCTTGTGACTGCAGGTCTTACGTGATTAGCGTGGCTTGCTACGTATGGTGCAAAAGAAGTTCAACATACATGCATCCACAGAACTCAATCGTCATCAATTCTCAGTCACGCACAATGCAATGCACGCATCACGAGTATATTACCCTCATTATCAGACAATTACACAACAGAGCTATTTTGGAGTCACTTTAAGAGGCCTATTTATATCGATAGCACGTGCCTTTTTGCTGTCCGCAATCAGATTGTGATGAATACCAAATATACTAAATTATAAACAAACATGTTCTGCTTCAAAGCTGAGTAAGGCAAAATACTTAAATAAATTACATATATATAAACGTTATGTTTTTTTTCTGTGATGTCATTGGTGAAGAGGCTGAGATGGCATCTCACTGCACCGGAGGGCCTGGTTCTACTAGCACGGGTGGCTGCCAGGATTCTAACCCGATGTGTCAGGGGCGCTGTTGCATGCACGAGTCTTCACCCCTTCAGCCACCTCTCTTATGTCAGCTTTCAGTATTTTCTTGTTCCTCTGCTGTTCCAATCACACCAGATGCTGTAAGCCACGATCTGCCAAGTTCTGTGAGACCGCTGAGCAATGTTTGAGGTATTGTGAGGTTCTGTGGCCAAGATCCACACCTTTGAAATTAAATACGAGGGTCAGTGGTATGGATTCCATTGCGAGCAGGGAGTTGAAACTAATAAACATGACTGGGCAGATAATTGCATTGAACCTTAAAACAACTTCTTATCAGCAGAATATGCTACTAGCTTCAGCTTTATTGTGCCCGAATATGAAACTGTTAAGGCATACCGTTGAACACAAGGGGTTTCATGCTTTATAGCATGTGCAAATAGGAGAGAGTAAAGTTAGTGGGCGAGGCAGGGATATTTACGATGTATAATTTACATCACTTTATCAGTGCACTGCAGGATGAAGTTCTCACCACGCTGCAATCTACAATGGGGCTTGTTTGACCATACTTCACCACAGTGGTCGTGTATAGGTTAGTGAAGGGCGCTGGGGAGGGGGGGGGCAGATTCAGCTATCACGCACGCGCCACTGATGTTAGCCGTGGCTGTAAACTTGAACGCGGCTCGCCGAGTTGCACAGCGCACTGCCACCGCTCCACCCCGAGGCAAGGGATGAAGTGCGTGATGATATCGTGATTACGGTTTACCACTACGCATTGCTACGCACAATATCACATGTCTATCTTAATAATCCCATTAGTAACGTAGAGTGAAATGCGATATGAGCGATTATCATGCTATATGAGCGATTTTATTCAAAGGATGTGACTCCAGCAGAACATTAAACTGCGGTATAATATAGAAACCTCCACTCCAGAGCAGTGCCAATGATTGACCCACAGTCTGGGACCCTCCAAGTAAATAAGTTATAGGACAACATTGGAGACATTTATGATTTTCATTTACGGGTGGAATAATTCACGACCCTGGCAATTCGATAAATTGCTGCAACACAGGGCCACCTATGAGAAATAAGAATAGGTTGTACTCTTTCTGGCAATAAAAACGTGTGTTAAGATGTTCAAACAGCAAATAGATACCGACTTATGGTGAACATGCAAACACACATGCTCTGATAATAGATGCAGTCTTTGAAACGTATTGGCCGTCACCAGATACAGACATATATTATGACAATATTATTATCAGAGCATGTTCGTTTGAATGTTCACCACAAGTACGTGTGGTCAATGCAGACTTGATTCCCTGCAAAATGCATATATTTGGTGTTTGAACATCTTAACGCCTGTTTTATTGGCGGAAAGGGTAAAACCTATTCTTCATTTTCACACTTTGAAACCTGCAAAAAGGTCCCATGATACAGGGACGCCTGTAGATTAATGAGGTGAATGGTAGCGCCTCTGGTGGTTGCATGAAGTTAACCCGTAATGTACAATATGCGGTGCTGTATATACATTAAAACATCTATTCTTACACAGGCAGTTGAACGCTTGTCGTGAGAATTGGAATGAACTGTATATTAATCGCTAAATCTAAGCATCAGTTCACCCATAGTGTTTATATATTATATCAACACATGCATCTGAAGGCATTATAGTCTAATGTTTCCCACGGTGGCCATAGGAATTAATGTGGGAAAATCATTATGCGACGGTTGTATGATCACATACGACCAATGGATGTGTGTATACGTTGCGAGTCTTGAACGTTTCAGCATGTGGTACCAAAAGGAGGTTCACGAAGGTGTGGGTTTGGCATTATCCTGGGTGGATGGGTGGCACTGTGGCGAGCGCACTGCACTTTGAAGCCGTCCAACCCGAGTTCGATCCCAGACACGGATGATGCCAGCAGCGAGTGGTATTTTAACCGTTCCTGGATGCCCTCCCTTCACCAACATGCACCGTGCAGAGTGCTGAAATGCTGCCAAGCCACTGCCATGGCCAATACGGCACGGGGAGGCCTTCATCCGACAGTGGATTGAAAATGGGCTGTCCAATGATAAGTATATGCAAGTGTTGTCTTATTGACATGTGAGAGCAGATACACATACTAATGTAGCACTGTTGTAACTTTATTCCAATCCTTAGTAACAGACACCAACACCACGTCATATTAACCATTCCAGTCACTTATGATCGTCACAGCAAAAACTCAACAACAATCGTATGCTCGTAAGGCAAAGTCAAACGAACCAAACAGCTTTGCAAAACCTAGATTTACATTTCTCTAGCACACACCGAAGCTGAGTAATACGTAACATCTACAATCAATATCAAAATGTACAGTAGACCGTCATTCAAACGGACCAGGAATTTACCGTTACAGGATAATAAAAGCTTATAGTGTATTCTTTTTTTTACATATTTCATATGCAATTATGTAACATGTAATTAACTTGTCAATCGATACATTTATTAAAAACACATTTCTGTACATGGGTGTGTCATCAATCAGTGCTGGAATCGAGGAATGTGAGATATCAAATCAAATAAACACTACCCAACATTTACCACCTTACAGGTCACTTGACCCAAAAAGTATCCATACAATTCTTGGGGATAATAAATGATTAAATTTACCCAAAGTATGAGTGAAAATATTCAAAGCAAGCGGGAAACTTATTTTGCTGCATTGAGTGCTTTCAGTATAAACTCTCATTAGATACGTAGTGTAAAACACGTGATATATTGTTTGTATCTGTTTCTCTAAAGAAATAAAAGTACAGAAGGAACATAAAAACCTTCAAATTTACACGCGAATAAGTTGTTTTTATACCGTCATATATTTAAGCAAATGCTGTTACACGTAAGGCTGAAGCAAATGTGTGCTCAAATACAATATTTACATCAAACATATGAATGTTCTAATACCACTCAAATTGGAATGTGCGTCATATATTGGCAAGTTAAACATATCTACTTAAATGCAACGTGAACTGGTTATTAATCAATATTCTTAAAGTGGTAATTGCTACACAGCAGCATATATTGCATGGCTGCGAACAGACACAAAAGCGATAACAGATTCGGGTAGTTTATCAGTTCCAATTAAACGTTGACCGTTATACACCCTCTGAATATGGAGGTGCTATGTTTATGATTACAAAATGATCGGAGCATCTGCTAACATTTGTTTTTTTATGATTTACATTTAAGTAATTTGTGCCTGACATACCACAGAATGGGTGAACATAATGCAATAACGTTAATGCCTCATTTTAAAGGCTGTGATATTACGTGACTACTACAGAAAAATAACACCATACACAATAGTAAACATTAGTAAATGTTTACATTACAGCGCAACACTGTACATGCAGGATAGCCCCTTCTCCCAAAGCATTCCATTGTAGAAAATCAGTTTTTTTTAGACAAAATAAGTTACAAAAACCGCATGTAGATATATGGATACACATATCTCTACAATGATTTTACATGACGTTACATAGTGCAAAAATAATGCAGCAATGAAGCTCACAACTGGAATTGCAAGGCAATTTCAAAATATGCAAAGCGCAGCACTGCATTGCAATGTTCATATGTAAAGGTATCCCTCGATTTGCGCGCGTTTGGTTTACAACATTTCTCTTTTCGATCAACGAAATCCAATTTCCGCGTTTAAGTTCACACGGCACCTGCAATGAGACCAAACAAGAGCCACACGGGAGGCTGCCTCAACCATCCGCGACGGTGTCACAGTCTCAGTGCAACAGCAACGCCTCCACATCACCTTTGGGGCCGTCCATAAATGACGTCACGCGATTTGGGACGATTTTTGACCCCCCCCCCCCCCTTGTCTATATATTTATTTAAAGTTGCGCACTTTGATGTGACGTCACATTTCTCAAACCCCCCCCCTTATCGTCACACATCGTCACAAATGTCTGACCTACCCCCCCCCAGGTGCGTGACGTCATTTATGGACGGCCACTTTCCAGTCATTTTAAAATGCAGCTCTTTTTGCGAGTTCCCTGAAAAGGTACTTTTTGTTGTTGTTTGAGACCCGTTATTCAATCGTTGTAATAGTTATGTCCTTCATAAAACAAACATTATGGGAACCTCATTTGCCAGTAAAAATATGATAATTGGTTTTTTACCCTTCTATCTGGCAACAAAACTGACACCTTTTTACAAGGAGTCATGTTTGCATAGACCGCAATACCTGCAGTCATAATACAAACAAAAGACATAACTCTGATAATGTGCACAGTCCTTGAAGTTGATTGGTCCACACCCGAGACAGCTTTCCTTAGAGCCTAGTCTCACATGGGTTGGACCAGATGACGCCAAAAGGTGCGCCTTTTGGCGTCATCTAAAAAACCAATTATCAAAACAAACATTGTATTGTGATAAGTGATATATGTGTATAATTTTCGGTGAGGAGTAGAGTTGGAAAGACTGTCCGAAACACATCCTTTATTTTAAGTTTAAATTAATGGGAAAAGCCATTCGGATTTACGAAATTTAGTTTTACACGTGTTTATTGAAGAACACACCCCTTCGAAAATCGAGGGATACCCATATATATATGCTTTTATGCAGAGCTGTTTTTGCAGCTGAAACGCAATGACCCCTTTGAAATGTCCGTGTTCATTGTGGAGAGGGGGTAGTTCTCAAAGTCATCTTCCACGGGGTTGCACTTGCAGCGCAGTATTGTAGCCTTGAGCTCCTTCTGAAAGTTATTGTTGAGAAACCCATAGAATATTGGATTTATACAGATGGAGAGCATGGCTGTCAGATGACACAGCGAGAAGATGAGATCATGTTGGCAGTGAAGCAGTAAAGTTGGGTTCCAGTCAGAAACGGCATTGAAGGCATAGAGTGGCAGCCAGCAGATGGCAAACCCTGCAACTATGGCCACCAGCATCATATTAATCTTTTTCATGTGCGAGGCCCTCACTCCGTTGCCCCCGCCCTCCCTTCCTGGTGGCAGCATCTTCTTGCGCTGCCGCAGTCTCAGGAATATCCTCAGGTAGCAGAGGAAGACAAAGAGCAGCGGGCAGCTGAACTGAAACACCAGCAGGCTGGTGGTGAATGCGAACTTGGAGGTGTCCGAGGGCCACAACTCAATGCACGCCACCTTCTCGCCATAGTCTGGGAAATAGTGTGACAGGTTGCGGTATGGCTCGTCGGTGAGCACATGGAATGCAAGGAATGGAGAGGACATTGCAAAAGCTGTCACCCAGATGGCACCAATGGCTACGTAGGCATGGTTGAGGCTGGGCTTCCAGCCGGTGGGATTGATGATGAGCTGGTGCCTCTCTATGGCGATGAGCACCAGCGAGAAGATGGACACACTCACGGCCGAGCACTGCAGGAAGGGGCTGCCCTTGCAGAGCGCCTCTCCAAAGATCCAGTGGTCCATGAGTGTGTAGGCGATGGTGAGGGGCAGGCACACGAGGCCGACCAGCATGTCAGAGAACGCCAAGTTGACGATGAGGATGTTTGTCACATTGTGAAGCTCGCTGTGACGCAGAATGACCAGCACAAGCAACGAGTTTCCCAGTAGCCCCAGGGCTATGAGCACACAGTAGGTGGCGATCACAAACGATCTGACTGCCTGTGGTGTCTGGCAATGATCCAGGTCAAGCTGAGGCATTTCACTCCAGTTAGACTGATAAAACCTGGACATGTTCCGCACGTTCAGAAATTCGATGATATCCATCGTGGTGTGTCTGCTTCCACGCTGCGTCCTTGAACTGGCTGGCCACTTTATTCACCAGGATATGGGACCTGAGCCAAGCAGATTTGCATGTCTTCAAGCCTCCTCCTCCTCCGATGTGAAATGCTTGCCACTTGTGATTTAAGGGGAGGCGTCAATCTCATGTTCTTAATTTACACTCCACGTCTTTAGAAAACACCCTGAAATAACAATGCAGCAGAGGATTAAATTAACACGTAATGTTTGACGACAAATTATTAAGAACTAGAATGCACAGGCATACAGATAATATTCGCCCAACCTTTAAAAGCATTTTAAATAATCAAATTGATCACACTTTTAAAGTAGTAAAATATTAAATGTATATTTCTGATACATAAAGCTGACAAAAGCAACATTGTATAATATGTACATCGAACACCGAACGACAGTATTAAGCATGTTATTGATTTAGTGTAAATTGAGCACATTGTTTAATGTGTGAAATGTATACATGAAGCGTCAACTGGTTTGTTTGATATGTCGACTGTCAGAAAGGCGAGTGGTTCAACGAGGATCAGCTCAGGGTAAACATGTAAGAACACATGGACACGTGTATACACAACACAAGCATCTATACACAGGGGCAGCGTCAACGTGTTTGAGGGTATTTAAAGCGTGCACTCACATGCACTTCACTAATGGACTCGCTTCGTGTTATAATATTCATTCGAATAATAAGACGCACCTTTCCCCCCCCCCCCCTATTTTAAAGCAAAAAAAATAGGATCTGCGTCTTAGAAATCGGTATATGCGCGTGACCAAAATTTACATTATCCGTATGAACACTGTGCAGAATTCTAGATTTGAAGTTTTCGTGACTGCAAGGATCCATACTCTTTGTTTTTTTCGGTAAAGTTACGTAGGTAAAAGAAATCAATAAAATGCATTAAAATGAAAACTAAAATTAAATCACGACGTTTTTTACCTACGCGACTTTCCCAAAAAAACCAAAGGGTACTGTGCAGAATGTTGGGGGTGCGTCTTACTTTCTGGAGCATCTTGAAATGCGGCGAGTGCGGCTATGCGGATGTGGTAACCCAACTGATCAGTGCCCTTGCGCCCTCGTGACTGCAAGTTCACGCCAGAGGGATATGATGTTTTATAACGTCTCGAACAAAACAAAATCATTGCCAACGTGAGAGAGTAAGTGCGTGTGCGCTGAAATGCACATATGAAACAAAATACGCAAGCACATTAACACGGATCTATTTGACGATTATACGGATATAATCTAATACAACATCGAGGTTATGCAACTGCGCTTACATCTGCACACTGCCAAATCACGGAAGCGTGTTTTATTCCCCGCTCATAATTATTTACACTTCAAAGGCGCCGTTCACCACCGAGGATCACAAGGGGCTGTACAAAATACACACACGCGCGCACATTTGGACTGGTCTCATCCAGCTCAATCGCAATCACACGACCAGACGCGCGTTTGCTGACAGCTGGCGCTGCTGTGAACAGCATCTAGTAGGTACACACTCACTTATATGACCTCATTACGCTTTATTTAAGACTTCCCGATTACGAGAGGCACAATGCAACTGCTTTAACGCTACCGTTTTATTCGGGACAAGAACCGCGTTAATATTCGTCAACACTCACGCGCATTTAGCTTACGCAGCGAGAAAAGCGGGCTCTGGTATGAGTCGAATTGAGATATTTTTCACTTCCAATTTGAAATTAGTGCGAATAGAGCAAACCGCTGGAAATTTCATTAAAGGTACAATATCGTGATATAATGGTTCACTGTCAATAACGCGGTTTAGCAATCACACGCCTTGTTTAATTCTCTGTGATGGCATGTATTGGAACGTTCGGCGTGAGTTAAGTGTTTACTGCACAAACAAAAACAGGAGCCCGGCGACTCTCACGGAGAACCAACAGACTCGAATAGGGATTCACACTTACACAGAGACACCCATATAGATTCTACCCAGACATACAGATCTGCATAAGGACCCACTGACTCCCATAGAAACCCATAGACTTACACAGAGACCCAGACTTGCAGAGACCTATAGATTCACATCAACCCATAGACTGGCATAGATACCCATAGGACGTTTAACAGAGCCTGATAAACTCGCATACGTTGGAGCCACGGACTTAACAGAGACCCGTATCTCAAATCGCGACCACAGATCCAATTTCTGTTCAAATCCAAATACAGGACCTTCCTCCTCTGCCTATGAACGGACTGCATTCTCCATCCAATAGTTTATTGGAATATAGGGCAGCAATTAACTTTTTATTCTAAATTCCACTTTGTCGTCCAATTGAATAACACGCACCTTCTCCGCTGCATTGAAGCCTGCGCCACGGGGTGCCGGGTGCGTGTTCTCGCTCTGCAACGATCACTCGCAACGCTCCGTGCTCGCCAGGAGGGACGGACGAGAGATGTGCAGGGGCAGACGAAGAAGGCTCTCTCACTGCCCGACTCCACATCCCCCGGCACCACCACCTCCTCCTCCTCCTCTCACCGGGGCGCGCGTACTTCTTAAAAAAAAACCAACAATCCAGTCGCCGCCTCCTTGCACGCACGTGATTGTTGCGATGTGAGCGCGGGTGGTGGTGGTGGTGGTGGTGCTAGGGGGTGGGAGTAGGTGGGTGGGTGGGGGGATGTCAGCGTATGTGGTGGGGGTGGCTGAAGGGATGATGTTGGGTGGCGTGGGCGGAGTGGTGGTGGTGGTGGGGGGAGAAGGCTGGCGGAGGTGATGATGTTGAGGTCAAGGGACCTAAGCAGCGGAGATGTGAAGGAGGATGGGGATGTGTGTGTGTGTGGTGCTGGGAGCGGTGGTGTGTATGTTGAACTTCCTTGGCACCGCACGTAGCCAACCGTGCCGATTGGGGTGTAGCGGTTTGCGCGCTGCGCTGCGAACCCGCCGGCCCGAGCTCAATTCCAGCTCACGACCAACGCCAAGTGGCGATTATCTGAACCGGTCCTGGGCTTCCCCTAGGTCGACTCAGCCTCAAATGAGTACCTGGTGCGGTGTGTAAACATCGCCACTGGGGTGACAAAGGCGGCCGGGCGTGGTGCTGGCCACCCACCCCCCCTGGTGTGCCGTACCGGCCTTCAAAAGCGCTCGCTAACGGCACTTGCCCCAACAGTCTGCGAAGGCTATTCGGGGGATATTTTGTCTTTGGTGCGGGGCGGGTGGGGGGAGTGGTGGGTTGCCGATATTTAGTTGGTTCGGGAAGTTGGGGAGGTGGGTTGGGTGTAAGTCGAGTTGGATGCTTGGCTTTGATGCAATGATGATGAATTGGTGATGCGTGTGAGAAACACGTGTTGGGGGCCGAGAGGTGGTGCTCGAGAGATATTTACCGAGCTCTCGGTGTGTTTGTGTGCATGCGTAGCGCGCTGCGGAGATGCAACGCTTAATTGCCCTGCAGTTCAGACGCCTCAAACGTCATTTTTCTTTTATGATGGGGGTATCAGGTCATTCTCTGCACATATTTGAATATCTGAGTTCAGATGCCGCACAGCGGTCAAACGGCACAGAGAAATAACACCGGGGCAGTCCAGACGCTGAACACGGTTGGCTCTTGGTAAGTTCTTGCACAATCGGCGTTGCAGGCTTTACTGGTGGTGTCTGTCGCCTGTACGCCCTATATGACTCTGGCTTTGTGTATAAAATTATTGTCAACAAGGGTGTTTTTTAATGCGCGTGATAACACTTGAGCCGGGAGCATGTGATGCAGCACTTTTGGAGCAAGGCTTGGTGCCAGGAGATTGTAGTGCAGACAATTGAGTACTGAATCCCATCTGTGCGGAGATTTGAGTGCCATGTCCTCGAATGCGTCGTGAGTTAATCTCCAGTTTCTATGGTTTCCTTCCATATGGCAAACACTTGCAAATAGAATTGGCCAAAAAACCCAATGCGGGACCCTCGTGAAAAATAGTCATCAGACTCAGCGAGGCTCAAAGAACATTGGATAAAGAACATTGCCATTATTATTGCATTTTTATTGTTATTTATCTTTCATGCATACAAAGGCGTCAATCAAAAATGTTCTTGATTATGCTGAAATGTGGTGATGGTTTATGCATCCAGGGATATTCGAAGAGGGTGAAAAGATGGCTTGCGTATTTAAAACTCGTGACATTGCAAACTGACCGCGTTGCCCCACGTGTAACATTGTCGGTGTCGGAACTTAAATGACATTACAGAGACAGCTTGTGACGCCACCGTCATCACTCGTCCCACTTTGGCGGGTGTTTAGCATAAACAGAAACAGCGCTCGGTTGTTTCCTCAAATTATGAAGATGTATAAGCCCAGGACGGCTTTGAGAGGTCGTAACCCATTGATACCCAATTCGCTTCATGTTTCCTCATCATCAGTCCTCATTTCTAAAATACCAACTGACACAATTGTAAACGTTACGTACACGTGTGTTTTAGCCCCTTTGTCTGTTCACTACTGAATGGAGCACCCCCCCCCCCTCCACGCCGTGGAGGGCGTGGGGTTGTTTGACCATACTTCACCACGCTGGTCAGTGCCGGTTTACGACTGGCCACCAAATCATTGGTTCAGCCAACACATGTCACTCATGTTAAGCCGTGAATCGAACTCTGGTGGCCAGGTTCACCGCGGTGACGCGCGATCCACTGCAACACCACTTACCGCCGCCATCAACATAATTTATTCTTTTCCCAAAGTGCGAACGTATACTACGGCTATATCATTGAGCCAATACATTTTGGACGCAGTGCGTACAAAGCGCTGTACAGTACTTTAAAAACGAAAGCTACAAGTGGCAGGGGTTTGTGGAACATTGGGGGTTACACAACGACCAATTGATAGTGTAAGCACCATGCTCTCCTGAGTCAGCAACAAAAATCTCCAACCCTGACCTGACAACGTAACTGTGCGTGCGCAGTTGCTCAACAGTTCCTTCAATCAGCGCTTTACAGATCACATGTTTGTCCAGATGCCTTTTATAGTTGCCCAAACGCAGCCCCCAGCAGCAGCAACAGCACACTGTGGCGGAAAGCCCGATGTTTCTGTACGGGACCCTGCAGGAGTGCGTGACACTTCAGCAGCAATCGATGGTTTTGCTACTCGCATTCGCACGCAACATCGATTGTTCCAGTGACTTATTATGCGTCCTATTGGCACGAGGCACGAATGAATGCGGTACCGGCGTATTAATTAGTAGATGGGGGAAATCTCGAGTTACAAATAAAGACGAGATATGAGCCGTGGAGACGCCTGAAGTACAGTATTTACCGTTCACTACTTGGATACGATTGTTGCTGTGCAGGGAGGGACATGCGCTGATAATTATAATTATTTAAGACGGGAACTTCTCAATAATTATCCCAATATTTTTTCGTCTGCATAGTTATCTTTGTTTGGCCAATTCATGTTGGGCCACTTCATATTTCATAACTTCTTTTTTTTCTTTCTAGATTTGAAGTTTTCGTGACTGCAAGGATCCATCCATACTCTTTGGTTCTTTCGGTAAAGTCACGTAGATGAAAAAATAAAAATAATAATAAAAATAATAAAATGAAAATAACTAAATTAAATCACGACGTTTTCGGAGGCAACACAAGCTGTTCCACCTGATGACGGAAGCTTGTGTTGCCTCCGAAACGTCGTGATTTAATTTAGTTATTTTCATTTTTTTTTCATCTACGTAACTTATTTTTTCACGTGGGATGATGAAGTAATAATACTGTGATGTCCTTCATTTACCCAGGAAATCCTCGCTAAGTCTTAAGACTATATTTGTTTTTGCAGAATCCTGCCTTAGGACGGTTGGCCAATTCCATCATGAGCGTTTGGCTTCATGTGCGAGGAAACTGGAGTTCCCGGAGAATATGCGAAGGGGGGTAACACCCAAAGGCTTCACACAGATAGAATACACTGATTGGCTACTGTCATCTCGTGGCCACTTTTCAGTCTCAGCATACAGCAACCTGTCATTTTCTTCTTCCCAAAAGCAATCACACATTCAAGTAAGTACTGTACTGGCCAGACTCCATCTGACGAGATCGGTGCATTCAGCATTCAGCATGATTGGGTGAGGTGGCGAGACACTACCTCGCCTGGTATACAGGAGGTCATGGGTTCGATCCCGATCATTGCACCTGTATAGGTGGAGTTTTACATGTTCTCCCCGTATTCGTGTGGTTTTCTCCGGGTCCTCCGGTTTTTCCCTTCACATTTAGGAGCGTTCGCTTCGAGTATTTGCCTGCGATATATTTCTACGTGATAAGCCACTTCGTTGCGCATCATTTGTGGCCAGGTCGCTTCTAAAAAAGAGCTATATAACTCAGTGAGCCTTACCTGGTAAAATAAAACGTAGTTTCGTTTATAGTTTAGTTAACTTTACACTGGACTGCCCACGCACATACACGATGGAAGAACACTCAAACTGAGCAGATAAATATTATAACCCATGTTCTATACTGTAACCCCCCCATCCCTCATACTCGTTAAGCGTTTCACAGTCCAAGTCTCCAGATCGCAGCATCTCGGCGTGAATGTTTGTGTGTGGACGCGATATGAATCTACATTGTGTTGCAACCTTGTGTAGCGTGGCCTTGTTTGACGGCGGGAGGCATAACAAAGCTCAGCGGCACGACACCGTCGGTGTTGGGCAAAACTTTAAACAAATGTTGAACGCGAGTCACGATACGATATCGTGCATTCTGCACTCGCTCTTCCTCCTCAATGTATTTGAGAAACAGCTGTAACGAACCTTAACTTCTCATGATTTTTATTGCAAGAAGTCAGAAAGAGGTCCGAGTATTCAACCCCCGACGCTACCGAATTATATATTGGAATCCTAAACCGCATCACCACAACTACAAAAAATGCACGCTGTACGCGGAGAAACACAGACTTGGACGGTGTTTCGAAGTGTTTGCTTCAACCCGAGATGGCCCAACCTTGGTGATCTGATCTTGGTCGGCCGTCGAGCTTGTCCCCCAGGTTTAGGAAAACATTTTGAAATAATGTATTTATCTTGAGGTCGATGGCTCACGAAGCTGGGCTGTACTGCAGGTCGATTCACTTTTCTGTTCCAGGAAAACTGGATTGCCGACCCCAAGATCTCGTGCCTCCATCCGCGTGCTGCAGGTTTCACATCCAGCAGCCAGCAGCCTCTGCAGGGTTATCCATTTGTAGATGCCCCCCCGGGGCTTTATTTATTACCCGGTATTTTCCTGAACGCTGCTAGGCTGGCTTGCAGTCGACATCGGTTTAATGGCCACCACTTAAGTGCAAAGTATGCCGATCCATAATCCGATACGTTTAGCTACGTATGGTGCGAAAAAAGTTCAACATACATACATTTTATGGCACCCTGTGTTCCTTTAACTATATCAACATGTGTCTAGGAATATAAGGTACGTTAAAGACAACATAAAGCAAGATAGATTGTGGCGTGCCATAATTATTCCCAGAACAGCGTTTCAGACTGTTCCAGATGAAAGTAATCAGTGGATATATGCCATGAAAATAATCAGAAACTATTGAGAATTTGGCAGGGTGTTTTGAGACTCCAGAC